TGCCTATCCCTAGACAACGGCCTATCACCTACCCACCACTCATCCCAGACACTGACATCGCCCCCGCCTAAAATCCAAAAGATGTGATCCTGGGCTCGCCTCCCGACCCTAGTGAGGCGCCGCCACTGTCTACTATCGTGATCAATAGCCGTGACCCAACAAGGGTGGTTGGCACGTCTAGGGCAGTACTTACCGCGAAAGTACTGAGCCCAAAGCGACTTTCCTTCCCTGAAGCGCCACCACAGCTTGTATGAGAAAGCTGTAACAATGTCCCTGAGGCGGCGGATGCCAAGGCCACCCTCGGGGAGGGGGCGGCATATAGAGTCCCAACTCACCCAGTGAGTACGTCTCCCCCTCCCAGACCCGTCCTCATAACCCCAGAAATAACGAGCCATAATCTGGTCAATCTCGTCAAGAGTAGACCTAGGGGGGTCGAGGACCATAAGCAAGTGAATCGGAAGAGAGCTAAGAGTGCTCTTGATCAGCGCTAGCCGACCACCGAAGGAAAGATATCTATGCGACCAACCAGAGATCCTGTCGATCATCCTCTGCCTGATGCCCGCAAAGAGCGCTCTCGTGAGGTTGCTCTTATATAAAGGGACCCCGAGGTAGGTAATAGGAAGGTCGCCACGCGCAAAGCCAGTAATGTCGTGGACCCGTTGAGCCCACCTGTCCACGGTGGCAGATGAAAGGATGAAGGTGCTCTTCTGCACACTGACCAGCTGACCGGTGACCAAGCCATAGTGCTCCAAAAGGCGCATAAGCTCAACCAATCCATCATCATCCGCCCGGGTGAAGATAATGATGTCATCCGCATAAGAGTGGTGAGAGATGGTAGGACCATAGCCACGGGTGCTATAGGTCATATGGGGAGAATCGCGGATGAAGCCGTCAAGGACGAAGAGGGAAGGTGAAAGAGGGTCGCCCTGTCTAAGTCCTCTAGAGGAGGGAAAGAAGTCGGTGGGGTTGCCATTAATCAGGACCGAGAACGTGCAATGCTCCACACACGCCTCCACAAAGCTGATCCAACGCTCAGGGAATCCCATCCTAACCAACGCCTCCCTAAGAAACGGCAACTCAACCCTATCATACGCCTTAGCCATGTCTAGCTTCAACGCGATATTTGGAGCCCGCTTCCAGTCCGCTCGGGAGATGTCGTGGATCATCTCCTGGGCCAGAAGGATGTTATCACTAATGACCCAATCCTTGACGAATCCACTCTGGTTCGGAGAAATGAGGGAGGGGAGAAGAGGGGAAAGACGGCCGTTGAGAATCTTCGAAATGAGCTTGTTTGTCACGTTACACATGCCGATGGGCCTGTAATCGGACCAAGAGCTCGGGTTGGGTCGTTTGGGGATCAAGACGACAGAGGTAGACGTGAAGGAATCCGGCATCCGGTGGCCGGAGAAAAAATCCAACATCGCCTCCTGAACGTCAGTCTCGACAAGATCCCAGCAGACCTGATAGAAGAGGGAGGAGAAACCATCCGGGCCAGAAACGCTGTTGGGATCAATCCCGAATACAGCATCCCTAACCTCCTCCCTGCTCGGGAGCTCACAGAGGCCAATGAGATCGACCGAAGGAGGGATGGTGGGGAAAAAAGAAGCGGTCGGGGCTACGAGGGACCCTCTGTCAGAGGTGAAGAGGGTCTGGAAGTGAGCAACAGCCGACTCCCGAATCTGAGCCTCCTGGGTCCAGGATGACCCATCAGCCTCGATACTATGGATGTACGACTTAGCACGCTTCTGCCTAACGTAGTCTTGGAAGAACCTAGTGTTCCGCTCGCCCTCGGCCACCCAGCGAACGGCCGCCTTCTGCTTCCAGAAGTCCTCCTCCATAAGGAGTCGGAGCTGGTACTCGGCGTGGCAGCGGTGCATGGCAGTCCTATTTTCTGGAGTGGGATCCAGGTCATAGGCCCGCTCAACCGTCGCATGCGCACTCTGAGCCGCAGCAAGACGCTGTTGAAGGTTTCCAAAAACATCCCAGTTCCACTGTCTCAACCGACGCCGCAGTCTGCCGAGCTTCGCCTCGAGATTGCGCATCCCAAAGAGCCCAGTCGGCTGAAGCCAGGAATCCTTGACAGTGTCGTGGAAGGAGTGGTGGCGAACCCACATGTTTTGGAACCTAAACGAAGAGCGGCGGCGGGTGCTCGAAAATCGGCACCGGATGAGAAGGGGTGAATGGTCGGACCCAAATCGAGTAAGGTGTGTGACAGTCGTAACTGCAAACACATCCAGCGTGAAGGGCTCACCATCACATCCACGTGAAGGGCTCACCATCACATCCAGCATCAATTAACTCGCAGTCCGCAACTGCCTGAGCAAAATCCCACATCTCCCATGCCCGGTCCGTGCGGCCACCCACACGCTCATCGGGATGCAGAAAGATGTTGAAATCGCCACTAACCATCCATGGCAATCCCTCCATACTCTCGGCAATCTCACGCAGGGTGTCCCAAAGGTCATATCGCCCGACCCTAGTACACTTGGCATAAACCAAGGTGTGAAAGATGGGCTCCGGGAGGTGGTCAGCGAAAATCTCTACGTGCAGCACCTGATCGGTGTCGCGGAGGACCCGACAAGTGTAGTGACGCGAGTGGAAAAACCAGATCTTGTGCGAAATATTACCCACGCCCGAGTGGAAGCCCAGACGACGCGAGTAGTAGTCAAAAGAAGGAGTGCGAATCATCGACTCAATAAAGCCAACAAAATCGACTCTGTGGTCACGAATGAGAGAATGAAGGTGAGAAAGAGTGGCCCTGTTCGCCAGGACACGGCCATTCCAAGTAATGGATGTGATGGACATATCAACGGTCGCAAGAGACACCGGACGTAGTCCGCCTATGGCGAGGCTGATTCAGGCCGCCTAAAGAATGGGAGATCGTCCGTCGTGTCGTGCGGCGGAAGGGTCCAATAGCAGGGGAGATCGTCCGCCGTCTCGTGTGCTGCGTGGCTCTGGTCATCGAGGTCTGTCTGCCTCGGTATGTACTCGTGGCCTGTGAGTCGTCTGGCTGGGCAGACTGACCTATAGCAGCACTAGCGGGTTGCCCCATCTCTGGGGCTGTCTCCTGTCTGTCAAAGTGAAGAAATGCACTAGAGGCGAAGCTCTCGCACGAGACGTCATGCTGCGCGCGGTTAAGCCCGCATATCTGCTCGGGGATGGGAGAAAGAGGGGGTCCAGCAGGCGGAGCACTCTGGTGCTCGCCGCCAGGAGGGGGCTGGGAGCTGGCTATAAGATCGACCGAGCTCTGAATCTCAGCAGGGAGGGGATGGGCCAACTCATCCCCTTTCGGGGGAGCGGTGGCAGCAGTAGCTCTCAAATCCGAAGTTCGGACCGGGCTAGATGCGCGCACGGTTGAAGAACCGGCATCGTGCGCACTATCATCGGATAGGTGGATGGACTCTCCCCTGGCCGTGGTGTCCGGCTGGTCCATGTCGTCTTCAAGGAGGTCATCGTCATCCAGAAGCGTAAAATCGGTAATCTTAGGTTGCCTGCTGGAGGAAGGAACAGTCTCCTTCTCTGCCTCAGGGGAGAGAATAGCGAAATACGAGTGGTTGGCCTTGAAGGCCGTCTGTAAGGTCTGTCTGGGGACAAAACCCGTGGTCTTGGGCTTGGGACACACTAAGGCCAACTGCTTAGGCTGGTTAGGATGAGAATCCTTCCCAGTTTGGGCAGTATCGACAATCACAGCCTTGCCCTTATCCTTAGACCCCTTCGGGGTCTCAGGCGCGTGGAGAGGGCTTTTGCCCTTTCCCTTCGGGTCCCTCCGGCTGGTGGAGGTTCCCTGCTGGGTAGCACGATGGCGCTGCGGGAGGGCGGGCCGTGGCTTATTGCCACTAATGTAGCAATCGGCCGCGACATGACCCACATGGCTGCACGAGGTGCAGAAAGCGGGGATCTTCTCATAGATCACCCACTGAACAAGAGACTCCGAGCCCTGTTCAATCTCAATCTCATGAACGAGCTCAGCTCTCAGATCTATCTCGACGCAAAATCGCGCCATGTTAGCCCTCGCCTGAAGGGCTGTCGGGGCGTCGATACGAATCGGCTGCCCAATACACTTAGCTAGTGTAGTGATGGCAGCATGATCGTAAAGATGGGGTGGTAGGCTGGGAAGACGGCACCACACGGAGACAACCGGCACCTCCGTCTTCGGGTTAAACCCGGCATAATATTTGAACACCCTAGCTGGGCATCCACACAAATGAATCGAGGTCTTAAGCCAGACCTCGTTATAGTCCTCGGGGAGGTGGAAAGACACTAGGAGGTGGTTGAAATTGTACCAGTTAGATGATACTCTACCCTTAAAACCCAATTTGCCTAAACCAGCAGATATATCTCGAGGGGCAGGAATAGGATATGAAAACTTAAATACCAGGGTGTTAGCTAGCTTACCTGCAAGAGCAACAGATTCGGCTTCAGTGTATCGGGCCTTCACTTTGTTCCCCTCTGAGCGGATAATGGTCCCGCAAGCATGCTCGTATCCCCCGTCAAAGGTGAAGTCCTTGGGTGTCGGCCGCGGGGCGCCTGAGCCGCCATCTCTCTTCCTGGTAATAGCTTCTCGGAAAGAAAGCGGGCCAGTGGAGGTGCCCGGTTGGGAACCGGGTGCTGCTGGGTTGGCCGTTGGTGGGCCCGTCGGTGGCGTCCCGTTTGGTGAATGTCCGAAAAAATGTGTTGCGGCCGTCGCGCTTGGGTGCGCACCAACCACACCACCTTCACTCACATACAAGACTTCCGGTTCGTGTTCTCCGGCTGCTACGGTTACTATTCCGGTGAGTTGACCAGTTGGAGGGGGTGATGTTGGACGGGGTCCGAGAATACCCGCTGTAGAGTTCACTTTTGAGACAGCCGCTCTTGTAGTCCCAACTGGATGTGGTTTTCCGGTGACCGGGACGGCTCCGGCGCCGGCGAGGTGCAGAATGGCGCTGCCTGCCGTAGAGGGTGCGCCGGCGGGGATGCGGCTGTGGTTGCCGGAGATGATGCCGGAGCTCTGGCCGGACGCCGGTGGGGGGTCTACGGTCACCGGTGTGCTGCCGGGGACAGCTCGATGACCGGTGCTGTTGTGGAGTTTGGGGAGGATGGGGATGGGCTTAGAAGTGGTTTTGGTGGTTACGGGCTCTGCTATGGGGTGAGAGGATGTGAAAATGGGTTGGGGTGAAGAATGTGTAGAGATGGGCCCAAAATAAGATGAGGGGGCAAAAGGGTTATGGGCTGGCCCAAGATGGAGAGAAGAGAGGTTGGGGGCAGATTTGGGCCTAGAGAGATTCGGCCCAGTGGAATGGACATCACCTATAGCCCGTAAAGAGTCCGTGAGAAGGGATGGATCCATATGAGTAGGCAGCTGAGGGTTTTTCTTACCTGAGGTGCCGCTATCAGTCAACCGCGATTGATCTTGGGGGAGGTTGCCCGTCGGAACCGACAAGTCCTCCGATGGGAAAGAACCAACATAGACCGACCGATAATAGCTCGAAGCTGACTCCGACGGCTTGCGGAGGTGGTTGTCCGTCGCTCTGGACGATGTGAGGAGCGTGGTTCGAATGGCTGAAGCCGATAATAGCTCGAAGCTTTCTCCGGCGTCTTTCGGGAGCAAGGTCGATGGCGTCTTTCGAGATTCTTGATGGGGATTTTTGCCTATTTTTCCTTGCCCATTTTTTTGAGAGCCGAAAGCAGGATGTTTTTCCAAAATTTCCACAATTTCTCCATCTTCTACGGTTATATCTTCTCTTTTGTCCATGTTTCTGTTTTTGTACTTTGCGAGAAGAGCGAAAAAAGCAACTCGGAGTTCCGGTTGTGTATTGAGTAATTCGAAATCTGAATCTTGGATGTGTGGTTGTTCTTTTCCATTTGCCATGTCTGAAATTTAAGATTAAAAGATTGGGATTGACTAAAAAAACGAAAAAGGTAAGAAAAGGGAGAAAAATCCCGGCGGCCGGGAAGGCCGCCGGCGGCGGCTGTCGGAGAGGTTTGCTAGTCGGGGATGGTCCTGCTGCTAGAAAGGTGATGGGTGGGGTTGAATCTACTGCTAGGAAAATCTAGAGGGAGAAAGCTAGAGAGAGGTGAGAGCATTTTTTTTGTCTTTTGTTGCTAGGTTAGTTCTTTCTTGCTGCTAGGTTAGTTGTCTGATGCTGCTAGTTTTTTTTTTTTTTTTAAAACAAACAACGCCCCGGAAGGGCGGGGGATTGGGCTGGATCCCCAACCTGTGCATAGATCAGGGCCCCAAAAACGGGAGCCCAAAATGTCAACGAACAAGATACAAAGGCCTACATAGTCTCACAATCAAAAACAAAAACAAAGGAAAGGCAAAAAGGAAAAGCGAGAAAACGAAAAAGAAAACAAAACTACAAAACAACGTCAATCTTCGGAAGAGAGCCATAATCTGGTCAAGCTCGTCAAGAGTAGATCTAGGGGGGTCGAGGACCATAAGCAAGTGAATCGGAAGAGAGCTAAGAGTGCTCTTGATCAGCGCTAGCCGACCACCGAAAGAAAGATATCTATGCGACCAACCAGAGATCCGGTCTATCATCCTCTGCCTGACGCCCGCAAAGAGCGCTCTCGTGAGGTTGCCCTTATATAAAGGGACCCCGGGGTAGGTAATGGGAAGTTCGCCACGCGCAAAGCCAGTAATGTCGTGGACTCTTTGAGCCCACCTGTCCACGGTGGCAGATGAAAGGATGAAAGTGCTCTTCTGCACACTGACCAGCTGACCGGTGACCAAGCCATAGTGCTCCAAAAGGCGCATAAGCTCGACCAGTCCATCATCATCCGCCCGGGTGAAGATAATGATGTCATCCGCATAAGAGAGGTGAGAGATGGTAGGACCATAGCCACAGGTGCTATAGGTCATATGGGGAGAGTCGCAGATGAAGCCGTCAAGGCAGCGAGAGAGGTAGTCCGCCGCAAGAACGAAGAGGGAAGGGGAAAGGGGGTCGCCCTATCTAAGGCCTCTAGAGGGGGGAAAGAAATCGGTGGGGCTGCCATTAATCAGGACCGAGAACGTGCAATGCTCCACACACGCCTCCACAAAGCTGATCCAACGCTCAGGGAATCCCATCCTAGCCAACGCCTCCCTAAGAAACGGCCACTCAACCCTATCATACGCCTTAGCCATGTCTAGCTTCAGCGCGATATTCGGAGCCCGCTTCCAGTCCGCTCGGGAGATGTCGTGGATCATCTCCTGAGCCAGAAGGATGTTATCACTAATGACCCGATCCTTGACGAATCCACTCTGGTTTGGAGAGATGAGGCAGGGGAGAAGAGGGGAAAGACGGCCGTTAAGAATCTTCGAAATGAGCTTGTTGGTCACGTTACACAGGCTGATGGGCCTGTAATAGGACCAAGAGCTCGGGTTGGGTCTTTTGGGGATCAAGACGACAGAGGTAGACGTGAAAGAATCCGGCATCCGGTGGCCGAAGAAAAAATCCAACATCACCTCCTGGACGTCAGTCTCGACAAGATCCCAGCAGACCTGATAGAAGAGGGAGGAGAAACCATCCGGGCCAGAAACGCTGTTGGGATCAATCCCGAATACAGCATCCCTAACCTCCTCCCTGCTCGGGAGCTCACAGAGGCCAATGAGATCGACCGAAGGAGGGATGGTGGGGAAAAAAGAAGCGGTCGGGGCCACGAGGGACCCTCTGTCAGAGGTGAAGAGGGTCTGGAAGTGGGCAACAGCCGACTTCCGAATCTGAGCCTCCTGGGTCAAGGATGACCCTTCAGCCTCGATACTATGGATGTACGACTTAGCACGCTTCTGCCTAACGTAGCCCTGAAAGATCCTACTGTTCCGCTCGCCCTCGGCCACCCAGCGAACGGCCGCCTTCTGCTTCCAGAAGTCCTCCTCCATAAGGAGTCGGAGCTGGTACTCGGCGTGGCAGCGGTGCATGGCGGTCCTATTCTCCGGAGTGGGATCCAGGTCATAGGCCCGCTCAGCCGTAGCATGCGCACTCTGAGCCGCAGCAAAGCGCTGGTGAAGGTTTCCAAAAACATCCCAGTTCCACTGTCTCAACCGACGCCGCAGTCTGTCGAGCTTCTCCTCGAGATTGCGCATCCCGAAGAGCCCAGTCGGTTGAAGCCAGGAATCCCTGACAGTGTCGTGGAAGGAGTGGTGGCGAACCCACATGTTCTGGAACCTAAACGAAGGTCGGCGGCGGGTGCTCGAAAATCGGCACCGGATGAGAAGGGGTGAATGGTCGGACCCGAATCGAGTAAGGTGTGTGACGGTAGTAACCGCAAACACCTTCGACCACGCCTCAGAAACTAAGGCACGGTCTAACCTCTCTTTGAGTCCGTCCCTCACCCACGTGAAGGGCTCACCATCACATCCAGCGTCAATTAACTCGCAGTCCGCCACCGCCTAAGCAAAATCCCACATCTCCCATGACCGGTCCGTACGGCCACCCACACGCTCATCGGGATGCAGAAAGATGTTGAAATCGCCACTAACCATCCATGGCAATCCCTCCATACTCTCGGCAATCTCACGCAGGGTGTCCCAAAGTTCATATCGCCCAACCCTAGTACACTTGGCATAAACCAAGGTGTGAAAGATGGGCTCCGGGAGGTGGTCAGCGGAAATCTCTGCGTGAAGCACCTAATCGGTGTCGCGGGGGACCCGACAAGTGTAGTCACGCAAATGGAAAAACCAGATCTTGTGCGAAATATTACCCACGCCCGAGTGGAAGCCCAGACGACGCGAGTAGTAGTCAAAAGAAGGAGTGCGAATCATCGGCTCAATAAAGCCAACAAAATCGACTCCGTGGTCACGAATGAGAGAATGAAGGTGAGAAAGAGTAGCCCTGTTCGCCAGGCCACGACCATTCCAAGTAATGGATGTGATGGACATATCAACGGTCGCAAGAGCCACCGGACGTAGTCCGCCTATGGCGGGGCTGATTCGGGCCACCTAAAGAATGGGAGATAGTCCGTCATGTCGTGCGGCGGAAGGGTCCAATAGCAGGGGAGATCGTCCGCCGTCTCGTGTGCTGTGTGGCTCTGGTCCTCGAGGTCTGTCTGCCTCGGTATGTACTCGTGGCCTGTGAGTCGTCTGGCTGGACAGACTGACCTGTAGCAGTACTAGCGGGTTGCCCTATCTCCGGGGCTGTCTCCTGTCTGTCAATGTGAAGAAAAGCACTAGAGGCGAAGCTCTCGCACGAGACGTCATGCTGCGAGCTGTTAAGCCCACATATCTGCTCGGGAATGGGTGAAAGAGGGTGTCCAGCAGGCGGGTCACTCGGGTGCTCGCCGCTAGGAAGAGGCTGGGAGCTGGCTATAAGCTCGACCGAGCTCCCAATCTCAGCAGGGATGGGGTGGGCCGACTCATCCCCTTTCGGGGGAGCGGTGTCGGCAGTAGCCCTCGAATCTGAAGATCGGACCGGGCTAGATGCGCGGACGGTCAAAGGAACAGCATCACGCACACTATCATCGGATAGGTGGATGGACTCTCTCTTGGCCGTGACGTCCGGCTGGTCCATGTCGTCTCCAAGGAGGTCATCGTCATCCAGAATCGTAAGGTCGGTAATCTTAGGTGGCCTGCTGGAGGAAGGAACAACCTCCTTCTCTGTCTCAGGATAGGAGTGGTTGGCCTTGAAGGCCGTCTGTAAGGTCTGTCTGGGGATAAAACCCGTGGTCTTGGGCTTGGGACCCACTAAGGCCAACTGCTTAGGCTGGTTAGGATGAGCATCCTTCCCAGTTTGGGCAGTTTCGACAATCACAGTCTTGCCCTTATCCTTAGACCCCTTCGGGGTCTCGGGCGCGCGGAGAGGGCTTTTGCCCTTTCCCTTCGGGTCCCTCCGGCTGGTGGAGGTTCCCTGCTGGGTTGCACGATGGTGCTGCGGGAGAGCGGGCCGTGGCTTATTGCCACTGATGTAGCAATCGGCCGCGACATGACCCACATGGCTGCACGAGGTGCAGAACGCGGGGATCTTCTCATAGATCACCCGCTGAACAAGGGACTCCGAGCCCTGTTCAATCTCAATCTCATGGACGAGCTCAGCTCTCAGATCTATCTCGACACAAAAACGCGCCACGTTAGCCCTCTTCTGAAGGGCCGTCGGGGCATCGATACGAATCGGCTGCCCAATACACTTAGCTAGTGTAGTGATGGCAGCACGGTCGTAAAGATGGGGTGGGAGGCCGGGAAGGCGGCACCACACGGGGACGACCGGCGCCTCCGTCTTCGGGCCGGCATAATATTTGAACACCCTAGCTGGGCATCCACACACATGAATGGAGGTCTTTAGCCAGACCTCGTTATAGTTCTCGGGAAGGTGGAAAGACACTAGAAGGTGATTGAAGTTGTACCACTTAGATGATACTCTACCCTTAAAACCCAATTTGTCTAATCCAGCAGATATATCTCGAGGGGCAGGGATAGCATAAGAAAACTTAAAGACCAGGGTGTTAGCTAGCTTACCTGCAAGAGTGACAGATTCGGCTTCAGTGTATCGGGCCTTCACCTTGTTGCCCTCTGAGCGGATGATGGTTCCGCAAGGATGTTCATATCCCCCGTCAAAGGCGAAATCCTTCGGTGTTGGTTGCGGGGTGCTCGAGCCGCCATCTCTTTTACCCGTAATAACATCGCGGAAGGAGATTGGGCCAGTGGAGTTGCCCGTAGGCGGCCCGTCTGTGTCGGTGTTGGCCTTTGAGGTACCCATGTTGAGTTCGCTAGTACCGTACGGGCTTTAAGCAGCGGAATTTAAAATTTTTCAAAGTAAGTATTTATCGTATAAATACAACACCCGTACATACTAATTGCGAATTAACTGATCGTCATCTTTAAAACATGCATCATATACAAATTTTGATTTGTTATAATAAATTAAATACAAATATAAAGTATTTACCGAATGTCTTGAACTCCTTCACAATTGATGATGGATGAGGGAATCGATTCCCGGTTTGATAGTAACAACAAGTTGTGGTTACTCGCTTAGGAATCTAATTGTTTTCCCTCTAATCGTATCCACCTTTTGAAATCCGGTTTCGATAACCTCTTTCTTCGCTAGTAGAAAAGTATCAGTTTTATGGAATATTTATTTGAGGAAATATATATAAGAACATTTTCTTATATTTTTGAATATGAAGAACACTTCTTCTTTTCTCTCTTTTTCAACTCTTGAAAACTTAGATCAAATCTTAAGATTAAATTTTGAACATCAAACATGTCCATATTTATACTAAACATTTTAGTATAAAATAATAATAATATTGGGTAGAATATTTTCATAAAATATAAAAAGTCTTCAAGAATATTTTCATAAAATATTAAGTCTTGGACAAGACTATTCCCCACCCAATATTCAATTAATAAGAATAAGATTAATTATGTTTAAGTAGATAGCATCTCTTAACCACCATAATTAATTATTCTTATTAATATTTAATCTTTAATCATATTAAAGATATATCATAAAATAATAATTCTTGAAAGCATCTTTCAAGACTTTATTATTTTAATCCTTTATTCCATTTCCTCATTTAATAATCATATTATTATTTGGATTTGAAATTTAAAATCTAATTTTAAATTTCAAATATTAATTAGTAATTCCATTAATTACTAAATTAATATCCAAAATTCAATTAATCAATCCAATTGATTAATTTAATATATTCCTTTATTGACATCTAATCAAATTAGATTTTGTCAATTAATTCTAACTCTTTAGAATTACTATTTATTTTTCACCTTCATTCAAAAATTGGTGTGACTTTTTAGGTTCACAATTAATACTAGTAGTGGGTTTACAACTCTTTGTAATTTGAGTTAATCTCATTAACTCTTATTCATGAATTAACTCCTCAATTCAAGAACCCACATATCATGGGAACATCTAGCAAGTAGCATGAATCTAGTATTAAGTGAATAGCGAGTAAACCTATTTCAATTACAAGTCCATACATGTAAAATCCTTTCGACATCTAATTTCCCGATTAAATCTTGGGTATGATTCTAGTCGAAACCCAAATTGATTTAATAACTATGATTCTATTTCATGTTTAGTAATTCATGTATGAATCTCTATTCATCCCGCCTTGGCCAAGGACTTTGAATTACTAACTATGAAACACATAGGAAATTCTCGTATCTTCATACGTGTCGAATCCTTTGTTGGCCACTAACAAACTTCCATACATATTAACATAATACCCAAAATATCCCTTTATACGATTGTGCTAGAAACCAAAAGGATAAATCAAAGTAGAACGTAATATGCACAAAGTTACCATTGTGCCTCAAGTCTAAGGATTAGTCATGTACTATTGTTACATGAAAATTCTTATTCGACAGATTATTAACTAAAATAATTCTTCATTAAGAATTTTCATACGGTCATGTTCAGTGAACTTGTTCTCTAACAAGCACCCACATATATGTACTTGCGTCCCACGCTAATGTTGATGGAATGCAACATTCTTGTCAAACAAGCATACATACTATGTACAAGTCTTTTATAGATTATTCGATATCCCTTTTCGAAACATCCATCGACTTGGAACTTTATTTAAGATCACAGCTTTCAAGGTATGTTCCATGATCACCATCTCTATGCGCAACCATACCTTATAGCTATATGTGATCTAGGGATTTTATCTTAAGTGCAAATATAGGATAAATGCTTACTCTTAAGATAAATTAATACCTTTTAATTAATATAATTCCAATAGATTGTATTTACTAGTAGAATACGTCCAATCTGATTGGAACGCCGGGTATTCTACTCTAACAACCCGTCGGTGGGGTACCATTCGTGGAGGGTCCGGAAGGATGAGCCGCGGTTGGTTTGCTTGGGCTCTCAAAAATTACACCGTCGTCACGCATATACAAGGTATCCGAAACGAGATTTCCGGCAGCAGATGTGAGTTTTCCGGCGGTTTGGTCGGCCGGGGAAGGAGAGGTTGGCTGAGGGCCGTGTATTCCGGCCGAAATATTCGAAATTGCGACCATCCCGGAAAGAGGGCCGGCTGACTGCTTTTTTCCGGTGGGGTTACCGTTGCCGGCGCCAGCGTCGAACATGAGGTTGGCGGTTGGATGAAGACAGGAGGTGTCCGCTTTCTTATGGCCAGACGATGTTATACGGATACTGTGGTTGGAAATGGGCTGAGGGGGATGAAGTGTAG